ATGTCATTGAAACAGCATATTGTGAGTGGGTTTACTTATTAATTATGTGTGGGGGAAGAATTATGATAACAGTATCTTATATGTTCAGCATTTCTTACCTTTCAGTTAGAAACATGACATTTATAATCCAATTAGAAAAAAAAAAGAAAAGCTTGATATTAATAATCCTACCCGCACTTATTTATAAAACACTAACCACTTAATCATGTGTTTTGGATTTAAGCCTTCACAAGTAAAATTTCTGTAATACAAATTCCTGTGGCTGTTCAAATTCCGTGGTTCTGGAATTTTTTTTTTTTTTCCAAAGAATATGACTTTAATAATTGGGACATCGGAACAACTTTTGAAATGCTTTTGTTTTAGACATGAATTGCAGCACAGTTGGTTTTTATAACAGGATAGAGTGTCTGGCTAACCCATTCCTCAAATACACCCAATCACCACTCACTACTTTTCATTTGCAACAATTCATGTACATGCGAAGGCTTGTTCTGAAATCTGAGGTGGTGTAGATGATGCAGTTTGAGGAAGAAGATCATGTAGGAATGGAGAAGAAGCATTTGGTCCTTTCCCAGCTATTTGTGTGGAGATTGAGCCTCAGTGATTAAACATTGAAAGTCAGTAGTAAGAACTGTTGAGATGAGAAGTTCCAAGGACTCTGGAGACAGCCAGTGCTATGTTAAGCCAGGAGACAGAATACTTATTCTGCAAATCTTACAGAGTTCTTGACTTACGAGCTTTAATGTATCTGGGACCATATGAGGACATTGCTCTTGGTGGTGACCACGATGAATTTACACATGGAATTGCTTGCAATCATGAGATTTCTTCAGTAGCCTCTCAGGTGACTAATTTGAAAAGAGAATAGGAGCCTTGTAACATGCAAATGGTCCAGTGACAATGCCTGGGGAATACTGTTTTATGAGACTGTGTGACCAGGGACTGAGTCAAGGACATGGGAAACCATTCATTACTCAATTGTAAAAATTGCTGCCTGGCTTTTGGGGATGTGGAGACCTTCAAGCACTGACTCTATCAGGCTTTGTGGTTTTCAACCATGGATCCCTAAATACTGTTCTCTTCCTTCCTCTGCCAAATAACTTCCCTTACAAGTCTCCTGAATTGCCGTGACATAAACGCTAACTGCAGCTCTCCATATCCTTTGATATCCAGGTCCTAAAGTAAGCCAGAACATTTTCTGTGACTTTTAGCAAAAATTCTTGGGTAAGCCAAGGATGTATTTCAAATCCCATCATCTGTGCCCAGCTCAGGTTCATCTAGCACGCCATAGCCTACTGCTCCATGTTCTCAGTAAGTACTGAAGCAGTGCCGCTAATGAAGGTGGAGGTAGAGTGAGCTAGGCTGTCTTTATTTTTAACAATGTGAAATATTTGGTGATAAACCAATATGTGGACTGGAGATAGACACTGTTGGTACAAGTGAGAGCAAGAATAAAAACATGTTTTTTTATTGTCAATGTGATCTCTCTAATATACATGAATGGAAAATCATAGCCACACTTGAGTAACACTATTTTTAACATTGTGAGGATATTATCTGCACAGAAAAATTGATAATAAGTTTGTGTTGTTTTTCTCATCCTTGGGGTATAATAATCTGTTGTCCTACAGAAAAAGTTTTATGTGATTAATAATTGGAAAAAATGCTACTCAAGGTGTAAAGGACTGGCAATTTCTATTTATTAAAAATCTACTGCATGCCTGGTAATATACATGCATATACTGTCATCCTCAGAGCAAGGTAGTACTTTTATCCTCTTCCTGTTGATGAGGAAATTGGAACTCGTGGAAGTCAAGGACTTTACATAAGGTCACATTTACGCAAGGTCTATTCTTTTGAAAATCTGGATCATGAAAATAAGTTAGCTTGGAATGAAAGCCCTTACTTCATCCAAAACAAGTCTCTTCATATGAATCATTTCAGGATCTTAGCTTAAATCATAAAAGCAGTAATTAAAGTTGAGCCTTTTTATGAACTTTGTAATAAACTACATTGATTAGACATTCAGAAAGAGAAAATGATTTGGAAAGAAAAAATTACTATAACTCTTTTCACCAGATTTGACAATCCATACAATGCTATGCTGAGAGCCCACACTTTTCTATTGGCATTAATTTCTTAGAAAAAGCAGTAATTTTGAGAGTCAATTTTAACTCTCTTATTTCTCAGTCTGCAACTTTCTGTACATATTCTGACAAATACTAGACAAACTATGTTAGGCCTAATACTGTGCAGGATTTTATTATACTAAGCAGGCATGAAAGTTGAGAGCCTCGTAAATATTAATCAGAGACTAATGAACAGTGGGAGACTTCTGAATATCAATCTGTACTAGGGGAAATTTTGAATTAGAGACATCACTTCCTAACCAATAAATCAGTGGTGAAAAATTGCAGGCGTTCTCATGCATCTGCTTATGTAGCTACATCTCCAGTCCTAAAGGAGCATACAATGCATATGCCATAATAGATGTAATTTTATCACCCCACACGGATCTTCTGCATTTTTAACTGGACCATTTTTTTTAATTTTTAATTACTTCCAAAAGTAGCTAGATTGTATCACAGAAAAGTTGAGTACATTCGGTAGTATCAAAGTTAAAATTGTTCGGGAGTAAAGAGAGCTTGTCTCATTCTTCCTCATTAGCATTCGAAAATCTAGCTCAAAGGGACTAGAAGACTCAAGGTTAAGAGGAGAGCTGAAATGTCAAAGCTTGATTGGCTCATTGCTTTTGTTCAGTGAGCCTAGTACTGCTTTTCCTCTGAGCTCATGTACAATTTATAACAGAAAGATATTTTTCAACATAATTCATAATTTTACAAAGAATACAAATATATTTACACACCTATACATCCTTAATGGTTGTCCATTAATAGAAAAATACTATATTTTTATTTATAGTAAATGGAGTTAATTATTTTTTCAGACAAATCTGAGATTACGTAGTGATACTTATGATGTTTATGATTTTTTGATGCAGAGACACAAAAATATGGGACTCAGTTGACAGTTTGAAGCTTTTTAGTTCCTTATTACTCAGATAGGATTTTAAAACTACACTATGTTTATACATCAGGCATTAATATTTTAATGAAAATATGTATAAATAATTATCAACTGTATGAACGTTTCTTCATACCATCATAATCAAGACTGAAAATTTATCTTGAATGGGTATGGTATGAGCTGGGTTTACAGAAAGTACACAAACACATTTATTAAGGATACAGAAAAAGATAAAGAGTTAGCAAATAAGCTACAAGTGGTGGACATCATTCAGAGATACACTCAAAATATTATTTTCAAGTATATTGCTTTATGCCATTTCGAATACAAGGAACAAGAAATAGTTATGGAATTAGGTAATAGTATAGCAGAATGCTATAATCAAGCTTTATTCACTAGCCCTGTTTCACTTTTTTATCACTCAAAATGTCTAGATTCATTAGAGACAGGGAAAGTTATGTTGATCTGCAATATATTCCCAGTGTCTTGTGTGTAGTAGTTGTTTAACAAATATTTAAGAAAGCTTTATAAAGGAGTAGCTATACATTGCAAATTTTCTTTCACATAAAAGAATTTGTACTCTCTCTAATAACAGCAAGTAGTCTCCTCATAAATTTTAAATACAGCTAAAATTATAATATGGTTTGTCAACTATATTTAATGTAAGAAGAATGGAAGCAATTATAATTTTATGTCTATTTTCATAAAACATCTGTGCTTAGGAACTCCCTTTCTTTTGCAATTGCAAAGCAGGACTGATTTTAAGAATATTTATTTTATTTTTCTATGATATTTAATGTATAAGTTTATTTATATTTTTGAGCCTGCTAAATGCTTACATTTAAAATTTTAAAGAGATATTACTCTGATTGCACATTATTTTGTACTGTGTGTGGAAATGGTCATTTTTTTACATAAATAAAACTATGTGTGATAATTAGCATAAAGATAATTACACAGGTGATGATAACATAATGGACTCTCTTCAGAGTTTTTGTTTTGCTTTATGTTAATACTCATAATAAGGTAATTTCATTATATTACTTATGAACACAGTGAATGGAAAAATATTTCTCTTTATTATGAGCTTTTAGAACTATTAGGAGGTGACAATCAATATTATTAATGCAAACATAAATAAAAATCCTTTACAATTCTATTGGCCAATATCTACTTTGGATATAATTTTATTTAATAGTTTCTATTTCATTGTATCTTGTTTAACTTATCTTTGCTAGAAAGTTGCTTGTGTTCTAGGTGAGTTTAAAGATATATTTATACTTGCCACAGGTATCACTGATAATTCTCAAGCAATATTTAGCAAATATGCTTTGAAAAGTTCTGAACTAATTTAAGGTCAACAAAACAAACAAAAATTGTTTAATTGGCTTTAATATAAAAATAAAGTTCTTTATTCAATATAGGATAACAAATAAAATGCAGGCATATCATTAAAAATCCCAATATAAATATGGAAAGGTTGAAAAATGTTATACTTAAGTTTATCTAAATAATGATGAGTGTCAGATTTATTTAATGGTCAAAAAACAACATAAGAAGTAAGTGAAATGAGTGAAACCAATATATGTTCAAGTCTTTTACTCTTGCTGGGTTTGGCAATAGTTAACCAAGCTTATTTAATATCAGATGGTTTAGAGACGTACAGAATAATGTATACTTCTTCTTTCCCTCTATGTTAAAAGCAAAATTTGTTGCTGCAATTAACTAGATGTATTGTTTTTAATTATTTTTCTTTCTACAGCATGAGTTATGATGATTTGGATGTAACAAAAGAATGACCTAGAGAAAGAAGGAGAGTGGCACAATCTACAGATTAATTCTAGCACAAGTGTAACACAAATTGCTGCCTTGCCTGACAATTAGAGCCTGGGCTTGTGATGGACCTCTCCACCTGTATCTATGGCTAAAAACTCCATTGTTTCCAGTCTAACTCTGATTTTCATTTTTCTCAGGTTTGGATTTGTTCTTCATAAAGATGAAGCTGCATTACAAAAAATTGATCTTGAAACCATGTCATACATCAAGACAATTAACTTGAAGGACTATAAGTGCGTTCCTCAGTCATTGGCATATACACACTTGGGAGGCTACTACTTCATTGGCTGCAAACCTGACAGCACCGGAGCAGTTTCCCCACAGGTCATGGTGGACGGTGTAACTGACTCAGTCATTGGGTTCAATAGTGATGTGACGGGCACTCCATATGTTTCTCCAGATGGCCACTACCTTGTCAGCATTAATGATGTGAAAGGTCTTGTAAGGGTTCAGTACATTACCATCAGAGGAGAAATACAGGAGGCTTTTGATATTCACACAAATCTGCACATATCTGATCTGGCATTTCAACCATCCTTTACTGAAGCCCACCAATATAACATCTACGGTAGTTCAAGCACACAAACTGATGTGCTCTTTGTGGAGCTCTCTTCTGGGAAGGTCAAGATGATAAAGAGTCTCAAGGAACCACTCAAGGCAGAAGAATGGCCTTGGAACCAGAAAAACAGGCAAATCCAGGACAGTGGCTTGTTTGGTCAATACCTGATGACACCTTCTAAGGACTCTCTCTTCATCCTAGATGGACGACTCAATAAATTAAACTGTGAGATCACTGAAGTTGAGAAAGGAAATACAGTCATTTGGGTTGGAGATGCCTGAAAACCCTATAATACAATTATTGGATGAAGCAAAACGCTTCATTAAGCAAAACAATACATTGCACTTAATCCATTGTTTAAATTTACAACTTAACTTTCCAAGTTTATATCCTAGTCAGACAAAATTTACTTGGTTGGCCCAAATAAAATAAGTTGTTTTTGACTAAGGCATACACAATTAAGAATAGTGGTTAATTAGAAATATTTAGCACACTATTGAATGAGAAATCACATCAGTCACAAGAATCAAATGTGTAAATTATGCTTTAAACAATAAAGTAGGATTTAAATCATTTAAAAAACTAAACTGCAGGGAATTTCAGATGACGTAAGCATTATTTCATTCTGAGGGTAGTTTATTGTTTTCTCTGTCCTTTTGGTATGATTAAACGAGAAATAAAAGGTGTTGTGGAAACTTAAAATTCTTAATTCAAAATATTCGGTCCTCTCCACTGTTTATAATATTTTGTGCCTTGAAGGGAATGTCACAGGAGAAAAGGAAGATTAAACCTGCATACTAAATGCCCTCATAACTATAAATTTCTTGTTGTTAAAAAACATCTCTTGCGCCAAAACCTGCCTTCAGTCTTTTGTTTAACCCTCAGTGAACTATCAATTGAAGGCATAAGTTGGCCTTAGCTTGTACCAGGTGTCAATCTCTACTTGACATTTACTGTATAATCTGCAGCATGCTATAGAAAGTGGGAAGGAAGGGAGGAAAATAATTACAGTCAAAATATTTGCAATCTATCTACTCATTTTGCTTTCAATCACTAGAGCGCATTATATTTTTAATGCAAGTTTGTCTGGGATGTCAACTGCCTACAGATGTTTATTACTAGCAGAACAGATTATTTATTAATAGATTGTTTCTTTTCATATAGTCCAGTGGTTCATCATCAGGAACTTTCAGTTGTAAAAAAAGAAACATTACTTTTGTCTGCTAAAGTAAACCATATATAGGGAAATTAACACCTAGGAAAAGAAAATTGGCAAGAGAATTGATGAGGTATTAGTGGTTTAGAAGAATTAGTAATATAAGTTGGGAATAAAGGGGTAGCCCCACAGTGGTAAGTAAAGATGTAGTTCTCCATTGTTTTTGCTATTTAAATATAATGTATCAAAAACCTTTATTCCAAATAATTTCCCCAAATGGTTTATTTTATTCATCTCCTATGTAATCCTAAAAGCACCTTCTCACTATGTGCTGTAGTTTGAAACCTAACTAATCCTCCTACTTGAGACACTGCAGAGAAGTAAAAATTGTTGCTTCTCTTTTGTTTTAAGAGGAAATGAGAAGGCCAGCAGAAGTAGATTAAAACTAGAGAGCTGGTTTATTACAATAAGCAGATAATTATCCAGGCTTAAAGTCATAGCTTACATGTTTTGAAAATCTTTGTACTTATTTTTGTTTTTATTGTTGCAAAAAATGTTAATGGGCTGTTGAAATGACCTCCATTTACTTAAGGTAATCCAATAAGATCTTTTTTAAATATACAAATTTTACTCAAGTTTAAATTGTGTAAAACTGCTTAGAAACCTGAAATTTTATAGTGTGTAATATCTTATGTGTATATAGCATCCTGAGCTGTGTGATACAGTAGATTTCTTCTTAGCAGAAACATTATGCAAGGTGGATTTAATAAACCACAAAAATCAGCTTATGTTTCTACTTATTGAATCTGCTTTACATTTTAGTAATTTTCTTCCTTGTGAACATGAACCATATAAAGTGTCTGTGACTTAATGATTTCATGTAAGTCTTTCGCATACATCCTTCTTTTGTAACTTACACCATGTGGATGCTCTGTCTGTAGACACTGCTTGATAAAAGGAGAATAAACCTCTTACATTTTAACCCTTGAGAGTTCAGTCAATGATTTAATATGCATACCATCTTTTTAAAAATTCCTCCCAATGCTTCAGATATAGTGTGGTGCTCTGAATTATTCTGAAAGTGATGAAATCAGGTGAAGGTAAAGTAAACTGAGATCAATCAAGGAAAGAGAAGTTAGTTTGCCTTTCTATATAAAATCTAAATTGGATATCCCTTGATTATTCAATATTTGCAGCAAGCCATATGTTCTTTACATGATGTCTCTTTTTATAGAATACCTTCTTTTCTTGTGTATTCAATGAAAATATTGTACTGGAATATCAAAATTATACTCAAAAGAGTAGTCTTTCCTTTCCATGACCTTACAGCATTAATCACACAAATACTGAGTCACTTTTTAAAAACATTCTGATTGTTAAAATACTGATATTTGTGAGCTTTAAAAAAATCAGATGAATATGTATGTTACAATTATATCTGAAGTTGATATTTCTTCAAAGACAAGGTAAAAGGTTGAGTAAGAAATAGCATACAGGGAATCAGTATGATCCTATGCATACCCCGATTGAAGTGTACTGTAAATACTCATATTAGCAATAATGTGGGTGTGTATAAAAAGTGAAAGTGAAGAAAAACTAGGATAAAATTATGAGTAAACTGCTTTAAAAATAAGCTATAGGCTGGGCGCGGTGGCTCACACCTTGTAATCCTAGCACTTTGGGAGGCCGAGGCAGGTGGATCACGAGGTCAGGCGGGTGGATCACGAGGTCAGGAGATCGAGACCATCCTGGCTAACACGGTGAAACCCCGTCTCTACTAAAAATACAAAAAATGTAGCCGGGCGTGGTGGCGGGTGCCTGTAGTCCCAGCTACCCGGGAGGCGGAGGCAGGAGAATGGCGTGTACCCGGGAGATGGAGCTTGCAGTGAGCTGAGATCGCACCACTGCACTCCAGCCTGGGCGACAGAGTGAAACTCTGTCTCAAAACAAAACAAAACAAAACAAAAACATGCAAAACAGACCGGGCGTGGCGGATCACCTGAGGTCAGGAGTTTGAGAACAGTTTGGCCAACATGGTGAAAGCCCATCTCTGCTTAAAAAAAAAAAAAAAAAAAAAAAAAATTAGCCAGTATGGTGGCTGCCTGTAATCCCAGCTATTTGGGAGGCTGAGGCAGGAGAATCGCCGGAACGCGGAACCCGGGAGGCAGAGCTTGCAGTGAGCCAAGATTGCACCACTGCACTCTAGCCTGGGCCACAGAGCGAGACTGTCTCAAAAACAAAAGTAAATAAATAAAAAATAAATTTTAAAAAAGAAGCTATAACCCCAAAGAATAGATTTGTTTTGTTCATTTGTTTTTGTTCTGTCGCCAGGCTGGAGTGCAGTGGCACAATCTTGGCTCATTGCAACCTCCTGGGTTCAAGTGATTCTCCTGCCTCAGCCTCCCTAGTAGCTGGGATTATCGGCACTCGCCACCATGCCCGATTAACTTTTGAATTTTTAGTTGAGACAGGGTTTCACTATGTTGGCCAGGATGGTCTCGATCTCTTGACCTGGTGATGCAACGGCCTCGGCCTCCCAAAATGCTGGGATTACAGGCGTGAGCCACCACGCACGGCCCCAAAGAGAATATCGTTAACAGACAAAAGAAAAAATAAAAAAGAAATTATATCAATGACAGGCACGGAATGAGTAAAGGTATGAAAGCAAGCATGGAAATACGATGTGGGGTGGTCGTAGAGCAAAACTGAAAGATGTAAATTATTTATTTTTAAAATTGTTGATACAGGTAAGACAAGAAAGTAGGTCGTAAACAGTTTTTAAGGGAGAGAGGTGAAGATTGAAACTAGTTTAAAAACTTGGAATTAATCCAGGCAACCATAATTTTTCACTGCTTCTGTAGATACTGAATAACGAACTTCTAAAAAGAGAAATGATAGTGAAAACAATATTTTTAAAATTTATGATCCTTTTAATGGAATGAAAATTTAACTGAAGACTAGGGAAACTGAGGGAAATGGAATTACTTCGGTAACTTTTGCAAAAATGTGAGTTTATTATCTTCAAGACACGACAATTAAATTGAAAGCATATTTTAAAAAATAAGTCTTGTTAAGGAACCATACCTGAAGTGGCAACTGAATAAATATTGATCATAAAAGGGACAAAAATGATAAGACTAAAATATGACACCCTCGATAGAAATAAGAAAGCCTTGAAGGAGAACTAAATTCGGGTGACCGAATGAAGATCTGGATAAGGGACAAACTAAATGGAAATATAGGGCAAAGGATATATGCCCAGGGAAGTGTCATCATATACAGCAAATAATGTAGTTTTTAGGGGTCATTCTACCTTCTGTCTAATTATATCCATGTAAAGTTGAAGCACTTAAAATATTTGCGATTTAGGGCCTAACAACCTTTCTGATTCCCACTTAAAAGTTATTCACAGAATTTTACTTTATGAAATCAATTAATTCAGTTGAATTTTACTAATCAAGATTTTTACATGATAAAACAATATGTTTAATACTACCTGACAAATTATTATATTGTGTAAATATCTGAAGACAGAAAAAAGTGAAAACAATATTGATATTCAGGAAAACATCTTTGTATGACATTTTCACTATTTATGAAAACCAATAAAATGAAATAAAAATGTACAACCCAATGTTGCAATTTTAAGAACTCTTTTTTTTTTTTTTTTTTTTTTTTTGAGACGGAGTCTGGCTCTGTCGCCCAGGCTGGAGTGCAGTGGCCGGATCTCAGCTCACTGCAAGCTCCGCCTCCCGGGTTTACGCCATTCTCCTGCCTCAGCCTCCCGAGTAGCTGGGACTACAGGCGCCGCCACCACGCCCGGCTAGTTTTTTGTATTTTTTAGTAGAGACGGGGTTTCACCGTGTTAGCCAGGATGGTCTCGATCTCCTGACCTCGTGATCCACCCGTCTCGGCCTCCCAAAGTGCTCTTAAGGGGCTCTTCTATTTTCACTTGCTACATTTAGCATGTTCCGTTATGAACGAGCAAAGAGAACAAAGGAAGCACCTACCAAGTATCTATGTCTACTTTTCTTTCAATCACAGTCTAGTATCATTTACCTCTCCTGAGAAACTTCAGAGGCAGAAATGTATTCTGAAATTCATGTCATAGAAATTCTCATCTGTTGTCTTAAGTCCTGGTAAATTTTCCCGTCTTTCTAGAAAACTAAATCTTCACCATATAAGCATAGCTTGTTTGTTTGCCTTTATAAATTGCATAGTCCTGTTGGTAAATGGAAAAGCACTTAGCTTTTCAGTAATATTCAGTGGCAAAATGAACCTGTCTCTGTGGTATTTAGTGGATACTGCACAGCCATTTTACAGTAATTTACAGCTACAGTTGGCAAACTGGAAAAGTTTTAACAGTTGTTCTTTTCTACTAGAGTTTACCAATAATAAAATTCTCTATTTTGGAACTTGTTTTCAAGGCTGTAATTAAATTTGGCTGAAATTGACAAAGAACACACCAAAATACTAAACATATTCTGTTTTGATGTTTTGTAAATGTATTGAAAGACTGTCTCTAAATACACATTTTCCTGCTTTTTAGAAGAAGAATCAAAATCACCTCAGTGTCAAAAGAATATTGATATTTCAATTGGAAAAATGTCCACATTATTTAAGTGGACAATTACTCAGTTATTCAAATATTCAGTAATTATTCAAATATTCATTATTCAAGATACTTTTTGTATTTCAATTAAAATGAACAGTTTATTTTACACCTGGACCCATAAACTTGTTCAAAGTTACAAAGTCCAAATAAAATATCTCATGATAATCAAGGCAAATATGTGAGAAAATATAGCTCTTTAAAAATGGTTAAATATGGCAGGACGCGGTGGCTCACGTCTGTATTCCCAGCACTTTGGGAGGCCATGGCAAGCGGATCACAAGGTCAAGAGATCGAGACCATCCTGCCCAACATGGTGAAACCCGGTCTCTACTAAAAATATGAAAATTAGCTGGTCGTGGTGGCGTGAGCCTGTAATCCCGGCTATTCGGGAGGCTGAGGCAGGAAAATAGTTTGAATCTGGAATGCGGAGGTTGCAGTGAGCCGAGATCACACCACTGCACTCCAGCCTTGTGACAGAGTGAGACTCTCTCAAAAGAAAAAAAAAAAAAAAGGTTAAATATTGACATACTCTGCTCATACAGCTGGGTTTTTTTTTGTTTTATTTTGTTTTGTTTTGTTTTGAGACGGAATCTTGCTGTGTCACCCAGACTGGAGTGCAGTGGTGCAATCTCGGCTCACTGCAACCTCTTCCTCCCAGGTTCATGCCAGTCTCCTAACACAGCCTCCCGATTAGCTGGGACTACAGGCGCCCGCCACCACACTCTGCTAATTTTTTTTTTTTTTTTTTTTTTTTTTATTTTTAGTCGGGGTTTCACCATGTTAGCCAGGATGGTCTCGAGCTCCTGACCTTGTGATCTGCCCGCCTCGGCCTCCCTAAGTCCTGGGATTACAGGGTTGAGCCACGGTGCCTGGCCCCACCTGCTTTTAAACTACTTCTGCTCTTCAGTTTCTGTCCTTTCAGAACTATTAACAAAGAGTACCCAAAATATCAACATTTGATTTTATAAAGTATAATTTATCATTTTATCTTTATTAATAAACATTATCTTCAAACATTAATTATTCTGTAGGGTAATTGTTATAAGTTGAGCAAGAGTGAATATATTGATAAGTTACTAACACATAGCATGTTAATTTTATAGCATTTTAAAAGTTGCTTGCTGATAGAAATATCATTTTTAATTCATCTATTTCGGTGCAAATCTGCCATATGCCATACAGTTTTCCACTTTAAAGCAAGTAAACACCTCACTCTGTGTGTGTGTGTTTGTGTGTGTGTGTCTGTGTGTATGTGTGTGTTTTAATTTGAGCATACAAAAGTGAAAATACATCTAAGGACATTGGAGGATGAAATGTTAATATTCAAACATATCTCATTAGTATTTTGGAATGCATATTAAATCTAG